TCTCGCTCGCTACAGGCAGGCAGCAGGCATGGGTTTGAATAGGATCCTCAAACCTGGCAGTGGCAGGGGCGCACTGTAGTTGAAGGAAACTGGAGATTCCTACTATAGCCGTCTACGTCAACCGATAACCTCCGACTCATTTTGTCTTTCAGGATTAGGCTTTATCAGGGAGACCCAGGTAGGCTATACTTGTATTTCCAGAATATTAGTGTTGATCAGTAAATAGATTTAAAACTCAACCAAAGCATGTCATCTGTCCGTTTCGCATGTGATGCAAGGTGGTGAGAGGGAGTGCGAGGTTCATCGGTTTGTTGGTAAAGATCCTTTGGCGCCATAAATGCAAGCAAGCTTCATTAGCCTAGATGAAAGGAAAAATATCAATTGTAACCAAAAAGACAAGTTACAGCATATTACTGATAGCATGGTAACTGTCGCATGTGCTTTGCATAATACAATAGCCTATACTCATTTAATTCAATAGCCTGATGAGCGCTTGGATAATTGGAATTAGCTTAACTGAAATGTATTAGATATTATAAATTAAAAGCTGATAGCCTGTCTGACATTGAGCCAATAATTTATCAATGAATTCATTGGATATGGGACAACATTGTAAAACATTATATGCCAGGTGGTGCTTGAAATATGATTATAATGTTCTGCCTTTAGATAGGCTAAGAAGCCCTATATATTTTTGGTTATGCATATTTGTCTCATTTTCCGATCAATAAATTAATTCATATAGTAATTTAGTCTTAGATAAAGGACACAGCTATGTACTGTATCTGGCGATCATTCAAGGAAAACTATAAACTAACCAGCCCTATATAACAAGGTAAACACGATGAGTCAACTGAGCCGCCTGTAATTGCCTTGTCCATCATTCTATTTGAAGAGACGTGTTTATGAAAACATCTGCGTAATTTAATTCTACATTATCCGTCTGAGTCAGATTGATCGCTTTTTTTCTGGGAACAATGTGATATGAAACTGACAACTGAAATGTTTACTTCAGTTATTTCAGACCGAAAGCTGTCACAAAGACTAACTTCTGTCAGTCAGTTTATGAAAATACTTTGTTCAATTTGCTCAGGTTACCTGATATACAGTGAGCTCCAAAAGTATTTGGACAGTGACACATTTTGTTGTTGTTGTAGCTATGTACTCCAGCACTTTGGATTTGAAATGATACAATGACTATGAAGTTAAATTGCAGACTGTCCGCTTTAATTTGAGGGTATTTTCTTCCATATCGGGTGAACCTTTTAGAAATTACAGCACTGTTTGTACATAGTCCCCCTATTTTAGGGGACCAAGAGTATTGGGACAAATTCACTTATATGTGTATTAAAGCAGCCAAAAGTTTAGTATTTGGTCCCATATTCCTAGCACACAATGATTACATCAAGTTTATGACTCTACAAAGTTGTTGGATGCATTTGCTGTTTGTTTTGGTTGTGTTTCAGATTATTTTGTGCCCAATAGAAATGAATGGTAAATAATGTATTGTGTCATTTGAAGTCTCTTTTATTGTAAATAAGAAAATAATATGTAAATACGAAAAGTATAACAATTCTACATTAATGTGGATGCTACCATGATTACGGATAGTCCTGAAGGACTCATGAATAGTGATGAGTGAGAAAGTTACAGACACACAAATATCATACTGTCACGATCGTTTACGGATGAGACGGACCAAGGCGCAGCGTGATAAGCGTACATATTTATTAACGTACTGAACACGAACAAAACAACAAACAAACGATACGTGAAGTCCAAGGTAGACTGATAACATACCTATACGGAACAAGATCCCACACAGACTGGTGCCAAACGGCTGCCTAAGTATGGTCCCAAATCAGAGACAACGAGCTACAGCTGCCTCTGATTGGGAACCACCCTGGCCAACATAGATCTACACAATCTAGACACTAACATAGACAACTTAACATAACAAGGAATATACACACCCTGACTCTACAAATAATCGTCCCCTGAGTCAGGGCGTGACAGTACCCGCCCCCAAAGGTGCGGACTCGACCGCGCCACATAAACATAACAGGGTAGGGGCCGGGTGGGCATTCCGCCTCGGAGGCGGATCCTGCTCCGGGCGTGACCACCACTTTCTCTCCACCTCCCAGTTGTGCCCCTGGTCTGGTCTGGCACCGCTGACTGGAGCTGGACCCGACGACGGTGGATCTACCTGTACAGGCTCCAGACTGGAGCCGCTGACCGGAGCTGGACTGGGCACCGGTGGAGCGGATTGCTCTGGCTCCGGAGTGGATCCGCTGACTGGAGTTGGACCGGACCCGGTGGAGCGGATTGCTCTGGCTCCGGAGTGGAGCAGCTGACCGGTGCCGGACCAGGCACCGGTGGAGCAGGCACGGGCCGTGCCGGACTGGACACACGCACCACTGGCTTGGTGCAGGGAGCAGGAACGGGCCGGACCGGACTGGGAACACGCACCACTGGCTTGGTGCGGAGAGCAGGAACGGGCCTGGCCGAACTGGGAACACGCACCACTGGCTTAGTGCGAGGAGCAGGAACGGGTCGGGCCGTACTGGGAACACGCACCACTATCTTAGTGCGGAGAGCAGGAACGGGCCGGACCGTACTGGGAACACACACCACTGGCCTTGTGCGGGAATCAGGAATGGGTCGGGCCGTACTGGGAACACGCACCACTGGCTTAGTGCGGGGATCAGGAACGGCCGGACCGGACTGGCGACACACACCACTTGCTTGGTGCGAGGAGCGGGACTGGGTTCCCTTATAAACCTCCGCTCCTTCTGCTGCCTAACCAGCTCCTCTCGCCATGCCTCCACACTCTCCTTCTCCCATATCGCCTCCAGTAGCTCCTCCCTCTGACCAATTAACCCCTGCTCCCTCTGAACCAATAGCCCCCGTAACCTGGTGGCCTCCTCTCCTAGTCTGCAGATTCGCCCTGTCGCTGCCTCCTGCTGCCTCATCGTCCATGCCGTGTGCCCCCCCCAACATTTTCTTGGGGTTGCCTCTCGGGTGTCCGTCGTCGGCACGGTTGGCGCCGTTTCTCCTCTCCTGCCTGGGCATTTACCTTCGCCCATGGCCCTTTCCCCGCGAATATCTCCTCCCATGACCACCATTTGCCCACCTGAGACATCGCTATTCCCTCTTCCTGGGCACGCTGCTTGGTCCTCATTTGGTGGGATCTTCTGTCACGATCGTTTACGGATGAGACGTACCAAGGCGCAGCGTGATAAGCATACATATTTATTAACGTACTGAACACGATCAAAACAACAAACAAACGATACGTGAAGTCCAAGGTAGACTGATAACATACCTATACAGAACAAGATCCCACACAGACTGGTGCCAAACGGCTGCCTAAGTATGGTCCCCAATCAGAGACAACGAGCTACAGCTGCCTCTGATTGGGAACCACCCTGGCCAACATAGATCTACACGATCTAGACACTAACATAGACAACTTAACATAACAAGGAATATACACACCCTGACTCTACAAATAAACGTCCCCTGAGTCAGGGCGTGACACATACCTGCTCCTAAAATGCTAACCTTCCCTGTTATTGTAATGGTGAGAGGTTAGCATGTCTTGTGTGTCTGTAACTTTGTCACTCATCATTATTCACGATTCATTCAGGACTATCTGTAATCATGGTAGCATCCACATTAATGTAGAAGTGTTTAGAACCATAATCTATTCTTATTTACAATAAAGGTGACTCCATTTACATTTACATTTACGTCATTTAGCAGACGCTCTTATCCAGAGCGACTTACAGTTAGTGTATACATTATTCTATTATTATTCTATTTAATTTTTTTTCATACTGGCCCCCCGTGGGAATCGAACCCACAACCCTGGCGTTGCAAACGCCATGCTCTACCAACTGAGCTACCTCCCTGCCGGCCATTCCCTCCCCTACCCTGGACGACGCTGGGCCAATTGTGCGCCGCCCCATTGGTCTCCCGGTTGCGGCCGGCTACAGCAGAGCCTGGACTCCAAAATGACACAATACATTATTTACCATTTCTATTGGGCACAAAATAATCTGAAACACAACCAAAACAAACAGCAAATGAATTCAACAAGTTTGTAAAGTCATAAACTTTATGTAATCATTGAGTGCTAGGAATATGGGACCAAATATGAAACTTTTGAGTACTTTAATAAACATATAAGCTAATTTGTCCCAATACGTTTGGACCCCTCAAATGGGTGAACTATGTACAAAAAAAATGCTGTAATTTCACCTGATATGGATGAAAATACCCTCAAATTAAAGCTGATAGTCTGCACAATAATCTCAGTCATTGTTGTCACACCCTGATGTGTTTCACCTGTCTTGTGCTTGTCTCCACCCCCCACCAGGTGTCTCCCATTCTTCCCCATTATCCCCTGTGTATTTATATCTGCGTTTTCTGTTTGTCTGTTGCCAGTTCGCCTTGTCTTGTCAGGTCTTACCAGCGTGTTTCCCGTTTTTCTCCAGTTCTGTAGTTCTTGTTTTCTAGTCTTCCCGGTTCTGTCCTTTTTGCCTGCCCCTTGGTTATAATAAATATTCTGAGAACCGAACCATCTGCCTCCTGTGTCTGCATCTGGGTCATATCCTGAGTCGTTATAATTGTATCATTTAAAATCCAAAGTGCTGGAAACAACAATAAATGTGTCACTGTCCCAATACTTTTGGAGCTCACTGTGTTTTATGTAGACTAATGGCTTACTACTGTATATACATGATTACATTAGCTTTGGGCATAACTGAAGGTTAATCAGGGTTTGGAATTAATTAATTAACATGGCAATGCACATGACAATTCTAATTCTAATTAAGTCATTCTCTGTTGATGTTCCTCAGGTTTGAGGATTTTCCTTGTTGGCGATAAGAAGAGAGAACTTTTCCATGACAGCTTGCTGTACATAAGTGAGGTGCTTTTTTAAATTTCCGAGCAATCAGTAGCATTCACTTTGGTGCTGGGCTATAAACTAACCAATGGCGACTGAGGGGGGCCAAGATGGACAGCGTCAGGAAAAAGTTGTCTTGAAGAGGAAGTTGACCGGTCCACCCAGACTCCTCCTGGGCAAATCGAAATCCAAGAACCAGGGAGGTGACAGGTCTGAGGCTCATACTAAGAAGAGAAACAAAAGAGTGAACATCAACAATGGAACTCAGATGGATTCCTCCACCAAACAGTCAAATATAGAAGCTGGAGAGACGGGATCATCGCAACTTGTAGTCACTTCAGACGACCTCCACATGACCTCAAAAATGGACGAGGAACAAGCTTCATCTGAAGTACCCACTGAGCCCTCAAGGTGGCGCTCCACCTCAGATGAGGATGAGACCAGTGAAGGCCAATTGGAAGGACACAGTAAGACGAGGAAATCAACAAAGCATGGCTGGAGAAGGTTGTTTTCCCCGGCTCTCATTTGCGTCAGAAGACAAAGGAAGAAGTACGCTGCAAAAACTTCAATCCAGGATGGTGACCAGGGAGTTGTACGAGCTGAGAGACTAACTCATACTGAAGCAAAGTCAACCGGAGAAGACACCATCTCCTTGAGTGACAAGTGTGTTCGCGATGCTCCTGACATCGACAATGTCATGAAAAGGAGGCGCAGGTTTACCATCCGGACGTGGCCGACATTCAAGCGGCTCTTGACAGCTTCTTATGTCCGAGGCCAAAGGCCAAAACAGGGAAATGTTGTACAGGAGGTCTCTGAAGACGTCCAACAACAACCGTCAGTGACCTTCAGGAAGACATTTCAGCATTTTTTGATGTGTGGAAGAAGGGCACCTTCAGCTGTGCCTCCTCTGGGAGACAAGGACACCCAGGACCCTGGAGACAAGGACACCCAGGACACCAGAGACAAGGAGACTGAGGTGGAGCCAATGGGGACACAAGACAGGGGACAACAGTGCACATCTGATGTCCAGGGGGTTGAGCTTCTGGAAGAGGGGACTGAGGTCAGAGGACAATGTACAGAGAGAGTGACAGTGTGTGCTGAAGTGAGCACCCTGCAGTCTGAGGACGGAGGCCCAACAGACACCCCAACGAGCCCAAAGTCCCTACTAGAGAGTCCCATCCCGACAACAGTAGTAAGACCAGCGGTAGATACAGAAGACACAGAGACCAGTCCAATGGGTGATTCAAAGGAAACAGAGATATTGGAACCTGAGACTATTACTAAAACTGGTACCGAATTATTGGAAACTGAGACTTCTTTCAAAACTAAGTTATGGGAAACGGAGACTTCTACCAAAACTGGCACAGACTCAATCCTCAGTGAGGTCATCAATGTTACCGTGGATACTAACGAGATGCAAGTAGATGAACTGTATCATATCCAGTGTTTAGAGAAGAACAAGGTCATTGAGTCAGACTGTGCAATAATCGATACAGTCAACAGCGTTGCCATGGACACTAATGAGTATCCCTCAGACTCAAATCAGATAATTTCTTCAGAGAATGCTGCAGAGGACACTGCTGATGCATCTGAGGAGAATGACACGCTCTGCAGGATCACGGAAGATAACATCGTGCAGAATGGCCAGCCCTTGACCAACATCAGCATCATCCCCGGGGCTGACTTGGACCAGGATGTATCCGACCAGGATGGCCATGAGGTGGGGGATGAAAGCAGCGAGAGTGGCCTCCCGACGGAGGACCACCGGGACTTGTTGTTGTGTGGAGAGAGCCTGCTAGTGCAGACGGCTCGCTTCTTGGTCCAGGCAGCCATGAGCGCTGCCATGGATCAGCTCTCAATGGAACAGAGAGGCACTCCCACCACTGTCCACAGGGGGGCACAAGTGTGTCAAGATTACGCTTGACACCTCTTTCGGCATGTTGTGACAGCATGTATGTAAGACCCCATTTGGATTAGCAGAGTTGCGTTCATTACGGCATACAACGGAAAATGTTGTAAAACATTTTACAACAGAAAATTAAATGAGAGTTTCTTATTGGACCAGTAGTTTCTGTTTCAATCCGTTTTCTTCTGTTTGGTGTCTAATGAACACGAACCAGGATTATTGAGAAAATATATTTCAGCATACATCTGTAAACCACTTTACGACTTGTTGTTAACAGACCAAACTGCTGCTGTTTGTATAAATCTAAACTGCCAGAGAACCGTATTGACACAATCTATTTTTACAATCAATCTCTTATATTGTACAAGAGGTGGCACTCAATTTGAACAATTACCATCACAAACATTTTAACTGTTCAGTGTGTCTGTGTTTTGAAAATGGTGGAACTAAGGGCTCTATTCAATCTATATCGCAGAAATTCAGCGTTACTGCGTGATTGAAATTTAAAGGCAATGTTCCCGCGTTAGCGGAGGCTGCATTCTCGGTAAACGCTGCATATGTCAGCTCAATCAGAAATGACCTTTACATTTCCATCGCACAATCTGTAGCGCTTCAGCGATACAGATTTAATATAGCCCTTATACTTCAATTACGGTTTATTTACCTATAGAACCAAAAGTCTCAGATTCTCAGATACAGTTTATCTGTATATCTGATGTAGCTCTGGTCCTCTGTAGCTCAGCTGGTAGAGCACGGCGCTTGTAACGCCAAGGTAGTGGGTTCGATCCCTGGGACCACCCATACACAAAAAAAAAAATATGTATGCACGCATGACTGTAAGTCGCTTTGGATAAAAGCATCTGCTAAATGGCATATTATATTATTATATTATATTATTAAAAGCTGAGATCCACGATAGGCGAAACAGCCCCACTGGCCACCCCAGGCGCATTTGTTATTGTTTTTGTTTTGAGGCAATGAGCATCCAAAATCGTAGTACATACTCTGCTGTTCTATCGCACGTGCAATGATGTGTAACAATGTCTGAGATTTAAAAAAAATTGTGTTGGTTGTTGATGTAACGTCTTCGTTGTTGTAATATCGCAAAACGGACGCAGCAGTTTCACCGCTACTGATTCCAACTTTAATTAATCAAACATGGGATTATGTATTTAAGATATGGTGATTATTTCACACAATGTCTTGCCCTCTGGTTGCTGTTTAATAGATGTTTAAGCATACATTGCTCAGTTAAAAAGCTTTGTCTCTTACGTGTATAGAGACGATACAACGCGTAACGTTACACCTGTAACTTGTCATAAGAAAATATTAGGTACCCAAGTCCAAATAGAACTCTGTGCTGTCATTTCTCTGTGTGAATGTCATTCTGGGCAAAGAATGATTACACACAATTTGACACATGGTGTATCTGGAAAAATACAACCTAGTCTCCAGACGGCTATTTGCTGTCGTTCTGTCATCATAGCTTGACCTCCTGGACTTCAGAGGAGATTTTGGAAACAAGACCAGCAAACATCTGTCTTGGGGCAGCACAACATTCAATACATAGAGGCTTGCTGGTCTTTGTAATCGGGTTTGGTTTCCCAAAGGCCTCTTTTAGAGGTGGGAGACTGTGAGGCAAACAGCAATGACATCATTAGAGGTGGATACCAGGCTCTCTTAACCAAAACAATGAGTCATCCAATGATATGAGCAAACTCTCTGATATGACCATGAGCAGTATTTCCTGTATGTGTGATCACCCCCTTGAGATAATCACTTCAGAGGAGTGAAGGGTGTTGACAGTCTTTTAATGTGACGGGTGAGGATTAATTCAATTGTGAGGAGAAAAATTGCCTTTTCTAATTGAGTTATGTGAGTAATAGCTGGTTGATTTGTTGTTGTTTTATGTTAAATGTGTATAACGTGCTGGTGGATATTTATTTATCAATATAAATATATTTTCTGTTTGAAAATTGTCACCAATTAAATGATCGGACAGACATGCATAATCTCACTCCCGGTCTATCTATTTTGAGCTTCAACATGTGAAAATCATCTTCCCCAGTGAAGTCTGCAGTGTTTTGTTTCTATAGCAATAGAGATATCTTACATTTAACTATAACCTACCTATCACCAAGAAACTACCTGTTTGAACCATTACCGTTCTGTTTAGTTTCTCAGTTTCTTCTCACCATGTTTCTTCTCTGTTAATTAAGGTACAATAATAGTTGAAAAAGGACATGAAACAAATTGATTGCGGGGGCAAGAGAGAGACAACACTTTCCATATTGAGGGAGTTTCACCATCAGTGACTAGATAATACCAATGGCCAGGTGCCAACTGGAAGAAAACCTGTCATATTATGACACCAACTTACAGCCTCAGCTTAATCTTACTTTATGGCAGATTTTAACAATATATTTTTTAGACGTTTTGTTATTATCACAAGTAAAACTGGACAGTTTGATGGGTTCCAGCACTAGCTGTCCTAGATTAAATTGGAATATACTTAACCTACTGCTTGAGAGAGAATTGTGCTGTCTCAGAGCCTGAAGCCATCTGTTGAGCTCCGTAGAGGGATACATAAAAACATTCTGTGTAGCCGTTCCATTAACCGGCTTCACTCAAAGGACCATGGCTACGTCCCAATTCTCCACCCTTTTCCAGAAGTGTGTACTTGCACACTCCCCAATAGTGGATTTAAAAGCAAAGGGTTGGCGTAAGCATTGGCTGGAGGGAGTTTCCACCTTTGTTAAATCCACGTCGGAACGTGTGCAAGTGCACACTTGTGGAAAAAAGGGTGGAGAATGAGAATTGTGACAGCCCAATAAGCACGGGGTAGAAGAGAGGCCTGATGGTACCTTTTGGGGATGAGTCCTTCAGCTCTTAAGTGGCCTCTGGTGGTAACAAGTTGTTACTACAAGAACAGGGAACATTAAGCCTGGTTCCATTTACATTTACATTTTACATTTTAGTCATTTAGCAGACGCTCTTATCCAGAGCGACTTACAGTTAGTGAGTGCATACATTTTATTTTTTATTTTTTATACTGTTCCCCCGTGGGAATCAAACCCACAACCCTGGCGTTGCAAACGCCATGCTCTACCAACTGAGCTACACCCCTGCCGGCCATTCCCTCCCCTACCCTGGACGACGCTGGGCCAATTGTGCGCCGCCCCATGGGTCTCCCGGTCGCGGCCGGTTACGACAGAGCCTGGTTCCAGAACTGTTGCTGCTCTTGCCTACTCATTTGCAGTCCTTGTCTAGCCAAGTTTGGCATGACAATGAGTGACAAGGAGTCGGCATGATATAACACAAACAGACTGGCACTCAGACTAGTGAACATACTAGGTGTGCTCTACTATAAATTGGGCTGCGGTGAGATTCTCCACCCTTCTCCAAGAAGTGTGTCCTACTTTCTCTGTCGTCCTCACTGGTTTAAAAACATTGTATTGGTGTAATCATAGGCTGGTTGAAGCTACCACTGTAAATCTTGCTTTTACTTCCATGAGGGTGAGTGAATGTGTTTTTACACTTCGGGGAGATGGGTAGAGCATAGTTCTACATCAGTGGAGGCTGCTGCAGGGAGGACGGCTCATAATAATGGCTGGAACGGAGCTAATGGAATGGCATCAAGCACCTGGAAACCATGTGTTTGATGTATGTGATACCATTCCACCTATTCCACTCCAGCCATTACCCGAGCCTCCCCAATTAAGGTGCCACCAACCTCCTGTGGACTACAGCCATTGTATACACTGGTGTGTGTGTAACAAACAGAAATAGTGAGGGAAAGGAACTCCGATATCTGAAACAGATGTACGGTTTGTAGAAACTAAACATTCTTATCAATGAGACAAGTTAACATCGGACAATCTGTTAAAAAATATATTTATTTACAAAACATTTTCCATGTATGGAAAAGTGACACAGATTTAGAAAACATGAAACCACAGCCATGTGGTAATGACAAAGTGAAAACGCCATAGAAGAGTAGCCAACTGAAACACACCAGAGGTCACACACACCAACAGGATAAAATGTAAATCTGATAATCCTAGGTTTATACTGTCTATCACAGTACATACAGCTTCCTGGTTCGACATCACCAGATGCATTATTCTACACACTCTGATAGCCATTGCCACATATCCCCCGTCAAATATGAAACTACAATACCACGATCATAAAGCTTTAGAGAACTAACTAAGTTCAGAGTATCTCTTTTAGTCACTTCTACTCTTGCCTGGCTACCCGAACTCTTTGCTCCGGCCAAACGCTATGCCACGCCCACGGACGTTAGTTTCTTCTCCGCAATGAGTCTGGATTTGAGTACCTCCCCAACCCTTCACAGAATGTGAACACTTTGTTTTGTACAACGCCCCTCGTGGCCCTCGTCACCACAAACGACTTCAATGATGGCAAACTCAGACTGAAGTAGGTAGCGGACGACAGAGCAGCGGAAGAACTGAGTGTGAGTCGTCAGGCTACTTCTACTCATGTTAGCCTGTTATGAGCTAAACTAAGTCCTTCCTCTTAGTGTTGTCAAGGATAAAGCACATTCAACATGTTTCCTCTGTACTTAAACACTGCTAAGGTCCTTGCTATTAGAATGTATAGGTATATCAGGGGCCGTATGTGTTAAGTATCTCAGAGTAGTAGAAAAAAAATAAAAAAAATAAAAATTTTGAATCAGTTTTGCCTCAGATCTAGAATGAAGACAGCGAGAACCTGATCCCAGATCAGCTCTCCTGTGATGCTTGATACATCCCCAGGTTTTCCAGCTTTAAAAGGTCTTGGGACTTTGTCTTCTTTTGCATACACGTCCATTTTCCTAGGTAGTACACACTTCTTGAATCCTTTGGATTCATTTGAAGGTGAATGAAGCAAGCCAAGCTAATTCTCAGCTAATTGTCAAGTTTAGGTACACTGTAAGTGCTAGTTTGTTGGGGTTTGAGAAAGAAAAAGAGGAATACCAAGCCACTGCTCATGATTTTGGAGGGAAATAGTTAAACGCTCCAATATGTGTAATGATGTACTACCACTCATCAGTTGTGTACTGCAACATTGTGGGCATAAGAATTTGTCCCTTGCAAATTCCTGCAACCCTGACAACCCTCCATAACAACAAGCCAGGATCCATTTCAACAGCTACTTATTTCTCAAAGTGCATTTTCAGAAAACAATGCAGATTCATAGTATTTGCTAATTTCCAATCAATATACCCGCTGGTAAAATATGACAACTGAGAGAGACACATTCCTCTTTTAAAAACCATGTTCTATTCTATTCAGACATTCACTGAATAAAAGAACATACACTTTACACTGGAATCATATCACAGGGTTTCATCTAACCGACAGAGAGATGACGGTATTGACAAAGGACAGGATATAACCGGATCAGTGGAAAGATACTGACAAAAGGTAGGAATGCAACTGAAACAGGGTCATGTTCAGTAGGAATCAAACTGAAGAAAAATAAACTCAGAGTGAAACAGGAGGTACTATCTGGAATTGTCCAAAAAGAAACACTAGGTTTTGTTTTCCATTGCAAAACGTTTTACTATGGTGTGCCCTAATGGAAACTAACCAGATGTGCAGTCTCTGGTGAGTGCAGATGGGAGAATGAAGATGTCTTCCCACAACACGTTTTATTACATAGCTGTTATCCCCGGATAACTATTAGGGAATAACTTATGTAAATTACCTTGTAACAAGTATAAGTACATAGTTCTTACCAATTACCATTGCTAATCCAGTTTCCCAAGAAAACACAAAAAGAGAGGCTACTGCATAATCACACAAACAGAGTTATCAAATCAGGTATTCCACAAGTGGCGACTCCAGCACATCACCTATGTAAAGTGGGACTTGATGTGTTTCTTTAATTTCTACAGTTTTGTTTTCGCTTTCATTCCACAGCGACGTTGTCCACGCTCTCCTGCGAGATCTCAGAGTCTAGCGAATAGCAGGAGCTGCCATTGTCCTGAACTTCCCTGTTGGCCTCCTCCGCCAGCGCTACTGTAGTGCTTGCCGCCACCCCACCGCCCTCCGGTGGCCCCTCGCAGAAGTGTCCAGAGGCGTGGATGAGCTGGCTGCAGAGGCGGCTGTAGCGGTGGTAACGCGATGGCTTGCCTGTGTGCGTGTACATGTGCTCCTGCAGCTGGCTCTTCTGGGCGAAGCGCAGGCTGCACACGGAGCAGGCGATCTTGCGCTTTCGTGTATGACTGGTAGTAGAGGTGGTGGTGATGGGGGGTGTGCTGGTGCCACTGGCTATACCCCCTCTGCTCCGCCTTAGCTCGGTGGCTAGCTCGTCAGCTAGGGATTGGCTCTGTCTCAGGGCCTCCTCCAGGTAGCCTGCATCCTGCTGATCCTGGGGGGCCCCATGCTGCTGCTGCTGGTCCTCAGGGCCCACTGGGTCCCCTCCCCCGGCCTGGGAGAGGCCCTCCATTAGTCCGCTGGGATTCAGGGCACAGGTGGCGTGGCTGAACAGGTGCTCGCGGAGCCCCTCGGGGGACGAGCAGCGCTCGCCGCACCGGGGGCACAGCAGCGCCAGGGGGCCATCCTTGAACAGGAGGCCCTGGCAGGGGTTGCCGCCCTGGGCCAAAGGAGACGTTGGGGACCCTCCCTCGCCCGGTGCCTGGTGGCCCTCCTCTCCCTCCCCTTCCCCCTCATCCACCCTCTCCTGCTTGATGCGCGTTGAGATGTCCGAGTCGTCGCCGGAAGCCACAGAGGAGACACCACGGAGGAGACCAGAGAAGGGCTGACGGACCGAGGAGGGGACGCCCTCCAACCCCAAAGTCATCGAAAACTGGGCGGCGTGGGAGCGGCCCGCCCGAGTGGACGAACGCCCGTCCTCGGGGCCGCCCCCTCCTCGGGCCCCTGCACTACCTTTAGGGACCCCAGTACCCTCCTTGTTTGCTAACTGGGATGAAATCTGAATACCGTACAGGTTGGACATGCGGACAAGGTCGGCGGTGGCAGCATCGGGCCCCCCCTCACCAGGCTTACGGCACAACTGGTAGGCATGGAGGAACTTGATGCCCTCCTGCAGGCGGCCCTGGTCCACCGCCTGCTTGGGGCCCATGCCAGTGTACATGATGTGGAGCAGGTAGCTGAAAACGTCTGGCTGGATGTCCGTGGGCTGGATCTTAATGCACTCACTATGAAGATGCCGATAGACAGTGGGAGAGTATATTAGCCTTTACTCTTGAAACACATTCATATTTCCTCTCTCTAATAACAAAGTATCCCTTGGATTTTGTAAAGTTAGATATATGTATACGAACTAGTTAAGATCTTCTCTCGTGCAGGACATTCAGGAAAATACAATGTGCAAACAAACACACAAGTGCATTACCAGTCTCAATTCTATTCTATTCATCTATTCATTGCAGCCAAAGAAACATGTGGTTTACAATCAGTGCAATGTGAGACAATTTACACAACACCCCTTCTAATCCCCAATTTCACTGAAACAACCTCTGATAGTCACCAGACCCTGCTACTGTACAACATGACCCCAAAAAATATGGACAACTATTTACTTGAAGGAGCCTGCTATACACATAGACATTCATAACACCCTTAGTGTGACACAGAATGCAATAGTCATGCAGTATGCATCTAACCTTGACTGATGGATGAAGATCATCTTGAAGTAGTTGGAGAAGGCAGCCAGCACGGCCCGGTGGGCCTTGAAGTACACGTTGCCAATGGCGACTGTGCAGTCGCACAGGAAGCCAAACTCCCTCTGGACGTTGAGCTGCTGCAAGAGGAACATGCTGTGGCTGGAAACGTCCATGACACCCCCACTCCACCTCATGTCACACACATAAACACACGCACACAGTAATTCATAATACAGGGTTAAAATTAGGTTCAGGAGAGGATATGTTGTGCAGACCTGGGTTAAAATAGTATTCACTTCCTTTCAAATACTTTGGGTGGGGTTTGCACTTCTGGGACTATTCTATTGGCTCCATTGTTCTATAAGCTCAATAAATGAACACAAATACACAAATACTATTGGAACCCAGGCCAGGTCTGATTGCTGTGCAATGACAACATGCGATTCTATATGATTAAACTCTTCCCCCACCCTCTAAAACACACACCCAACATATGTTCATAAAATGTCACACCTCTGAAGCATGCACTAAGGAATTTCTGAAGGTGTTGCTGAAACAATGGCGTACTCTGCTGGTCAAAGAACTGAAAGAAGCATCCCCCCCCCCCCCCCCCAAATAGACTGTTAGATGTTGGCATCTGGTTAACTTTCTACCTGTAGACATCTTTGATAATAAAGGAGTTTCACGTGCGGTGTGAAAAGATGAAACATTGGGGAACCGTAACCTAAAAATTACTTTGACAAAAAACAGTTCCTTAGACTTACGGCAAGGTTTTTACATTGTAACAGAGCGTGGGCCGGTATAATTTAATGTTACATTGTTGCAATCGATAGGGCATGTTTATATTGTAGCTAACCCTTTATTTAATTGTATCCATTTATGCTGCTTACTTCAAAGCAGACCGGTCAATATGATGGACATTCAGACATAGCAACAACGCATGCATTCTTGAAACCGCCACAGATAAAGGGGTCAGATTTCGGCGAATGGAATATGCAAATAACTGAAAATACCATTCTAAAAGATGGTCAATATGCCAGTCCCATATGTAGCCTACAACCCACAGCCGGTCTCAATATATATTCGCCAGCTTGTTTCACGACAGCATCACATCGATTCACACACGTCTGCGTTGTAGACTATCAAGTGTTCCTGCCGACTGAATCAAGTGTTCCTTCTATACAAAATCAACAACCGTGAACAGCCTCGATAACCCACACGGGCCCCAATGCATGCATTTCGTTATCCCCTCCTATTTGCAAAACAAAGCAAATACGATAATCGTATGTCTTTCTTACCACCTATTTGCGAAATATAGGTTTATATTTCGTACGTAGCCTATTTGTTGCCGCAGAAAAATTCTCGCACGGTCTCGCGCGTCTTCCTATGTGATTGTCTCCTGAGGTTGTTATTGATCACGTGACTGTTCTACAGTACATTTGCAATTCTGTCATGAAAGGTGTGAACATTTTGTAAATACCGTGTGTGAAAAAAAGTTGTTCAAATTGTGTAAATACCGTGTGTTTTACTTCCCCCTAAAACATATGACGTTGGTTGACAAACATTGAAGTAGGGGTAAGATTCTAAATAAATTATTATTATTATTATTGGTCCTCTGTAGCTCAGCTGGTAGAGCACGGCGCTTGTAACGCCAAGGTAGTGGGTTCGATCCCCGGGACCACCCATACACAAAAATGTATGCACGCATGACTGTAAGTCGCTTTGGATAAAAGCGTCTGCTAAATGGCTTATTATTATTACATGACAATTTATGAGCGCATCAAAGTTCTAATAACCAAGTAGTACAGCCTCATAAATGCACGCCTTGGAGATTTGATGTTTCTTATGCTGAAATGTAGCCTTAACATCCTATCAAGATGTAAGCCTACTTCTGTAAAACTCAGATGAATCAAATGTGTAGCTAAATCATCCTTATCGGTTGGTTATTCTGGTAAGTGCATATGGAGACGAAATAAATAGGCAATAAACATAGGCTTTTAATCCAATTTATGCGGAGGAAAATAAACCTTGTTAATTTTTTGCATTGGTGCTATGAACCTAAATAGCCTATGCCAGTATTACAGTCACATTTTCTATGTTCGTCCATTTTACTTGTAAGCGTCCAGCTGAGCAGCCTAGTCACTGCCTTGTTACCGTACACCCAGTCTCGGGAGGTTTGGATTTGCGTGAGTGGGGCTGGATCTCGCTCAGTGCGGTGAATAAGCTCGCAGAGCGGCTGTGCGGAAGTTCTTTCATCCGTGCTGCAGAAGGGGCTTGCTTCGCCCTCGCGATTATTCTCGTCACAAGTTTATGGTTCGATAAAAGCGGTTCAGGTGGAACTTCTGGACATTGCACCCCAACTTGAGTTTTACTACATCCACAGTCTGCCCCATTTATTGTCGGTGAGTATTTATTCAGTGTTTTCACAGAGTAAACATTCCTGCTTTCGGAAAAACCCTGTGCTTTTTTTCTCATAGCGTGATTGCGGGAAGAAGCGCGGGGGTGGCAGTGCGTGCTTGCGTGAGATTTCCGACAACACTGCCACTGCCGTGGAGGTCTCTCCATTTTGGTTTCACATTGTTTGGTCCTCCCGATATTTTCAACAAGTAATAATAATTACGCATTCACTCTGTTGCTCCGATTGGAATTATTGTAAAGCTGTTTAGTTCATTACTTTTAGTGAGGTATGATTGACAGCCACGATGCCCGCACGACTGAGTCTCCAAAATAGGCCAATGAAAATGGGTGGGCGGGATTTGAGCAGGCGACGAGTAACGACAAAGAGACGGCATTTTTGCATTTTTTTTTTGCCATAAATAAGAGGACATCACCTCACTGCACATTTAGAAAAAGTAGACCATTGATAGAATGCAGATAGACTAGACTACAGCTGTTAGACAAACATATATTTCATTGTGACCAACTAAGTTCAAGTACATTTTATGTTATAGGCTTTAAAAAAGGCTACAAATGCAGTGCAGACTATCAACAATGACAAGCCACCGGGGTCTGACAACTTGGATGGAAAATTACTGAGGATAATACCAGACGATATTGCCACTCCTATTTGCCATATTTTCAATTTAAGCCTACTAGAATGTGTGTGCCCCCAGGCTTGGAGGGAAGCAAAAGTCATTCCGCTACCTAAAAATAGTAAAGCCCCATTTACTGGCTCAAATAGCTGACCAATTAGTCTGTTACCAACCCTTAGTAAACAATTGGAAAAAATGGTGTTTGACCAGATACAATGCTATTTTACATTAAACAAATTGACAACAAACATTCAGCATGCTTATAGAGAAGGACATTCAACAAGCACAGCACTTACACAAATTACTATTGATTGGCTGAGAGAAATTGATGATAAAAAGATTGTGGGGGCTGTTTTGTTAGACTTCAGTGTGGCTTTTTACATTATTGATCATAGTCTGCTGCTGGAAAAACGTATGTGTTATGACTTTACTCCACCTGCTATATTGTGGATACAGAGTTACCTGTCTAACAGAACACAGAGGGTGTTCTTTAATGGAAGCCTCTCCAACATAATCCAGGTAGAATCAGGAATTGCCCAGGGCAGCTGTCTAGGCCCATTACTTTTTCCAATCTTTACTAATGACATGCCTCTGGCTTTGAGTAAAGCCAGAGTGTCTATGTATGTGGATGACTCAACACTATACATGTCAGCTACTACAGCGACTGAAATGACTGCAACACTTAACAAAGAGTTGCAGTTAGTTTCAGAGTGGGTGGCAAGGAATAAGTTAGTCCTAAATATTTCTAAAACTAAAAGCATTGTATTTGGGACAAATCATTCACTAAACCCTAAACCTCAACTAAATCTTGTAATAAATCATGCGGAAATTGAGCAAGATGAGGTGACTAAACTGCTTGGAGTAACCCTGGATTGTAAACTGTCATGGTCAAAACATATTGATACAACAGTAACTAAGATGGGGAGAAGTATGTCCATAATAAAGCGCTGCTCTACCTTCTTAACAGCACTATCAACAAGGCAGGTCCTACAGGCCCTAGTTTTGTCACACCTGGACTACTGTTCAGTCGTGTGGTCAGGTGCCACAAAAAAGGACTTAGGAAAATTGCAATTGGCTCAGAACAGGGAAGTACGGCTGGCCCTTGGATGTACACAGAAAGCTAAAATTAATAATATGCATGTCGATCTCTCCTGGCTCAAAGTGGAGGAGAGATTGACATCATCACTACTTGTGTTTATGAGAGGTGTTGACATGTTGGGTGCACCGAGCTGTCTGTTTCAGCCACTGGCGCACAGCTCGGTCACCCATGCATACCCCACAAGACATGCCACCAGAGGTCTCTTCACAGTCCCCAAGTCCAGAACAGACTATGGGAGGCGCACAGTACTACATAGAGCCATGACTACATGGAACTCTATTCCACATCAAGTAACTGATGCAAGTAGTAAAATTAGATTTGAAAAAACTCCTTATGTAACAGCAGGGACTGTGAAGCAACACAAACATAGGCACAGACACATGCATACACACACATGATAACATACACACGTACACATGGATTTATTAGTGTAGATATGTGGAAGTAGAGTAGGTAGGGGCCTGAGGGCACACAGTGTGTTGTGAAATCTGTGAATGTATTGTAATGTTTTTTAAATTGTATGAACTGCCTTAATTTTGCTGGACCCCAGGAAGAGCTAATGGGGATCCATAATAAATACAAATACAAACTCCACTATGTAAACACTGTTACTGTAGAAAATCTGTCATTGACATCACTGTAAATCTGTAAATGACATAAAAATGATAAGCTAGCTGTATACAATTTTTTGTTTCCAGAGGAACACGGCTTCCTGAGGAACACTTACATAAACACACACACACACTGAGCGGTTGGAGGCCAGGGTCTGTTACAGTGTAGCACGCCTGGAGTTTAGGGATTAAGTGCCTTGCTCATGGGCACAAAGGCAGGAGATGGAATACCCGAATCCCGACATACTTTTCCCCTTCATACTTGGGATTCAAACCAGCGACCCTCCGGTTGCAGGCCCACCTCTCTAGGCTTTATGCCGCCACAATAGTTCAAGACGTAATATGCTGTGCTCTATATTATAGAATTAGGCTAGATAATTTTGAAATCCGTCAATTTGATAATATAGTCCTGTGTGAGTGCACACCTGTGTGACTAATGATCTTTAGGGTGATCTTATCGCGAGAGAGTTATTTTAAGGGGACCTTTTTGTGGTACAATTATGTGCCACATGTAGACCTTTTGAAAATACTTTACTTCAACATGCAATGTTGAGCACTATTTTGTGAACTTTTTACATTTACGTCATTTAGCAGACGCTCTTATCCAGAGCGAATTACAGTTAGTGAGTGCATACATTTTTCATACTGGCCCCCCGTGGGAATCGAACCCACAACCCTGGCGTTGCAAGCGCCATGCTCTACCAACTGAGAGTTTATATTTTTGTATTTCCTCTGTTTGAATCCAATAAGCAACCATTCATGTGTTAATCATCCTATGACTTGGAGGTTGGAGAAGCCTACCATTTAGTTGTCATGTGGTGTTAAGTGGCTGTTTCCTCTTGAGTTGTGAATAGACTGATTCAGATTTTTTATTTATTTATTGTTTTATTTAACCTTTGTTTTTAATGAGGGTTTTTGTACAGGGATAATAACAGCTTAATTAATCTTAACATGTGCAAATTTACACAGTTGTGTTTTTAAACAGATTTGGTGCCTGCTACATTAGTTATTTAGCATCTTTAGATTGAAGCATTGCTTTGCTAATTGCTCTCCCCTTCACTCTTCCAGGGTGATGGCGAGGCCAAGCCACAGCGAGCATGTCCTGCAGCAGCTCAACAACCAACGGGAGTGGGGCTTCCTGTGCGACTGCTGCATCGCCATTGGCGACATCTACTTCCGGGCCCACAAGGCCGTGCTGGCTGCGTGCAGCTCCTACTTCCGCATGATGTTCATCCGGGACCAGCAGGGGACAGCTCGCATGGACCTCAGCAACATGCAGATCAGCGCAGAGTGCTTCGACCTCATCCTGCAGCTCATGTACCTGGGCTGCATAGTGGTGGGCAGCTACGAGTTCGAGGAGCTCAAGGTCTCAATGGCCTACCTGCAGATGTACTATATCCCAGACACCCTGGAGGACCTCCGGGACATCAGGAGCGCCTCCAACCTTACGCCGTCCTCCTCTGCCTCCTCCTCTTCCTCCACCACCTCGTCCGGCTCCTCTTCCTCCGTTGGCCCGGCAATTACAGGAAAAATGATGTTTGGAGTCCGCATGTACGATCAGCAGAAGCCAAGCGCCCCAGAGGGTGAGCCCAAAAGTTTGCCCAAAGTTGCCATCACTGCTGTGCCTGTGCGACCAAGCATTCCTGTCCCAGTCAACAGGCCTCCACTTGTGGTGGAGGATGTGGCGTCCCCTTTGGTAGTAGTTGCACCACCGTTTCTAGACAGTGTGGCTGAGCAGCCTTGTGACCTGCGCAAGAGGCCTGGCGGCCGGAGTGCCACCCTGAAAGAGCGCCCCCGCTTCGGGCGCACATACACCTGTGACGACTGTGGCTTTGTCTTTAGCTGCGAGAAGCTGCTGATAGAGCACATCCTCACCTGCACCAACCGTAAGGCCTTTCAGGTCCCCAGGACCAGCGCAGAGGCAGACAACGACTCCAGCAAGGCGGAGAGCTCGGCCTCTGAGGGGATGGAGGAGCACAGGGTGGTCTGCAAGGGCGAAGAGGATTGGCCGGACCACAAGTCAGACGCCGACACAGTGATCAGGTCCGTGACAATTGGTACGGATAACGAGCCTGGTTCTGCCAGGAATATCACCATCAAGATGGAGCTGGAAGAAAACGTGGTGTCCGAGATGGATGGCATTAAGGTGGTCCAGGTGGGAGAGATCAGTGCGAGGCACAGTACACTCAGCGACACTATGAGGGAACCGATTAAATTTAACCGGGAGGCCGAGGCTGATGTTTCAGTCATGGACGACAGCAACGAGCCATTCGAGGGGCACATGTCCAGCAACAACGATTCTGTCATACCTGTTAAGATGCGCAAGGTTAAAGTGGAGAAGCAGGACGGGGACAGTTTGCCATGTGAGCTCTGTGGAGAACTGCTCACGAAGGAGGACCAGTCGGCTCACTACATCTCCAGCCACATGGGCCACATCTGCGCCTGCGGGAGGTGTGGCCAGGTCCTAATCAAGGGGCGGCAACTGCAGGAGCACGCTGAGCGTTGTGGTGAACCTCAGGGTGCGGACACCGACTCCCATGGGGAGGAGGGTGACTCACCCCTGCCCGAGGACCCGCAGGCCATGGACGATGGGCTGCTGGACGGGGGCGACCTGGCCTGCCCCCAGTGTGGCCTACTTTTCCAGAGCGAGAGCCTGGCATTGGAGCATGCTCTGGCCTGCCACGAGCAGGAGCTGTTCCGCCCCGCCCAGCTGGAGGATGGCGGCGTCGAGCCGGACCACCGGCGCAAGCACTTCTGCGCCATCTGTGGCAAGGGCTTCTACCAGCGCTGCCACCTGCGGGAGCACTACACTGTCCACACCAAGGAGAAGCAGTTCACCTGCCAGACGTGCGGCAAGCAGTTCCTGCGTGAGCGGCAGCTCCGGCTGCACACCGACATGCACAAGGGCATGGCACGCTACGTCTGCCCCGTGTGTGACCAGGGCACCTTCCTCAAACATGACCATGTGCGCCACATGATCTCGCACCTGTCCGCCGGCGAGACCATCTGCCAGGTGTGCTTCCAGATCTTCCCCAGCGGAGAGCACCTGGAGAAGCACATGGACGTGCACCTGTATATCTGCGGCGTCTGCGGGGAGAAGTTTCGCCTTCGCAAGGACATGCGAAGCCACTACAACTCCAAGCACACCAAAAGACTTTGTCCTGCCTGAATTTATGCGTCTGTTACCTAAAAGCCATAAATGTGAGAACAAATTTATGCACTTAAACACCAAAAAAAGAAAACCTATCAAATCTGCACTTTCAAATTGTATGAATAATCGAAGTGTGTTATTGCCTCAAATTTTTGTCATTTGTCATTCAGATTCACACCCCTGTACTAAACACACATTAATGCCATTTGATGACGTTGCCACAGTAGACAAATCCTTGGCACATTTGAAGGCTTTTGGAATCTAGTGTTTCTCAGCAAACAGCCTATGCAATACACAGTTAATGGAATGAAGTGGATTCAACTTAAGTTCATTGCAAAGAGGTGTTTTGATTGTAATATAAATCCACATTTCAATATAGTATTTGTGAACAGTTACTGTACATAGCACTTATGCATTGACAATTTAAGAATGGCCTTGCCATTGCTTTTGCTTTTCAGGGGTGCATGAGTGGCATTGCATTCCTAAACATTGTCTGCCAGTCGATGCCACTGTGCAATGCTCACGTCTTTGTCATTTCAATGTAACGCATTAGGGGACATGGACAAGCATAACTGAATATCTCAACAAATCGACTGATCTGGCACCTTGTATTTTCAAAATGATACTACGAAATGAAAAGAGAGGCACGGTTTGTTTAGCCCAATCATAACATAGGCTACATCACAGGCTCTGAAATTCCTGTCTTTAAAGGCCCAGTGCAGTCAAAAACGTGATTTTCCTGTGTTTTAATCTATTTACACACTATGAGGTTGGAATAATACTGTGAAATTGTGAAAATGATGATAATGCCCTTTTAGTGTAAGAGCCCACAGGGGACCGCACAAAAAAGTAAAAAAAAATGTATGCACTCACTACTGTAAGTCGCTCTGGATAAGAGCGTCTGCTAAATGACTCAAATGCCTGACATTTCTGCATGGTTTTGGTGGGATGGAGTTTTGGCCTGCCTGGTGACATCACCATGCAGTAAATTAGTTAATAGACCAATAAGAAAGAGTTCGAAACCTCTCTGACAATAACAGCTAGTTTTCAGTTTTTCCCACTCCCAGACAGTCCTAGCAAATTTCTTTTTTGAGAAATTGCTCTTTGCTAAGAAGCCATTTTTGTTTATTTTCGACCATTTTAATTGAAAACAATCACAGTAAGGTACTTAATTGTTACCCAGAAATGATTTGATATTGAGATAAAAACAGCTGCATTGGATCTTTAAGCCCCAAATTATATTTTTTACACCATAACGTAGTTTCTTTTTCTACCAGAGTTGATACACATGACTACAACTCATATCAGATATAAAAATAAATGATGAGTTGCTTTTTAAAGGGAAAGTTCAATGGCTGTGAGAACTTCAGATTGTAAATAGGTTGCATATCAAAACACACAAAAAAACACTAGAATTGCTCCACTGGTTGGAACCTGAACCAATAGAAACACATGCTGTACTCTTGACAATGGTTAGCCTAATTCCATATTAAATCTTTCATGCCACCAAGGCAAGATCATGCACTCGCTCTTTTGCTTAATCAATGATTTACTATGCAATGTTGGGCTATACACAACTCTGAAACTTTCATTCGCTTTTCAAACACAAGTGTCGATTCAAAGGATTTCTATTGTTGATATACAGTAAATAATTACTTTTATCACTGTGTGAGAAAACAGTTATGATGTCTACAATGATTCTTATTCAGTTTTCCTGGTAAGGTAGGAGTATTGTATATTACCTAAACAATTAGCAACATAACTTAGACCCAGTGACTATAGGACAGTAATTTGGCTTTACAGACAATCAAAACTCATATTTTCTTCTTGCATACTGTACACAGACTAAAACGTATGTCTGAATCCACTCTTGGGAACTTTTATGTGCCAATTGATTACTTCTATTTCATTCATGTTACATTTGCCTTCTCTTCAGCTTGGATAGATTTAGTAGGAAGATTGCCTTTACATTTGCCTTTGTATTAACTTGTGTTTGATTGCATTACACAGCCAATATTAAGCTTTGTCCTACGTTGGTGGTGTTATATTGCGGGGAGTTACTTGAACAATATGTCTCCTGCATGTTGGACAGTGTCACACGCGTTGCTATTGTGAAATGCTAATCCTTTTGTTGCACTGCAGAGAGAACATACTCCCTTAAAACATCTTAAAACGATATGCAGTAATGTGGAAGCTGCTAAAGCCTCTTAAAGTAGCTGTCCAGTGTTTCCAGATTTCTATGAAATATGATCTATAATTACAGTGGCTTGCGAAAGTATTCACCCCCCCTTGGCATTTTTCCTATTTTGTTCCCTTACAACCTGGTTGATTTTTTTTGGGGGGGTTGTATCATTTGATTTACACAACATGCCTACCACTTTGAAGATGCAAATGTTGTTGTTGTTGTGAAACAAACAAGAAATAAGACAAATAAAACAGAACTTGAGCGTGCATAACTATTCACCCACCCCAAAGTCAATACTTTGTAGAGCCACCTTTTGCAGCAATTACAGCTGCAAGTCTCTTGGGGTATGTCTCTATAAGCTTGACACATCTAGCCACTGGGATTTTTTTCCCATTCTTCAAGGCAAAACTGCTCCAGCTCCTTCAAGTTGGATGGGTTCCGCTGGTGTACAGCAATCTTTAAGTCATAACACAGATTCTCAATTGGATTGAGGTCTGGGCTTTGACTAGGCCATTCAAGACATTTAAAATGTTTCCCCTTAAACCACTCAAGTGTTGCTTTAGCAGTATGCTTAGGGTCATTGTCCTGCTGGAAGGTGAACCTCCGTCCCAGTCTCAAATCTCTGGAAGACTGAAACAGGTTTCCCTCAAGAATTTCCCTATATTTAGCTCCATCCATCATTCCTACAATTCTGACCAGTTTCCCAGTCCCTACCGATGAAAAACATCCCCACAGCATGATGCTGCCACCACCATGCTTCTCGGGGTGATGAGAGGTGTTGGGTTTGCGCCAGACATATTTGCGCCAGACAGATGAGACTAAAAGCAATTTTAGTCTCATCTGACCAGAGTACCTTCTTCCATAGGTTTGGGGAGTCTCCCACATGCCTTTTCTGGCCACTCTTCCGTAAAGCCCAGCTCTGTGGAGTGTACGTCTTAAAGTGGTCCTATGGACAGATACTCCAATCTCCGCTGTGGAGCTTTGCAGCTCCTTCAGGGTTATCTTTGGTCTCTTTGTTGCCTCTGATTAATGCCCTCCTTGCCTGGTCCATGAGTTTTGGTGGGTGGCCCTCTCTTGGCAGGTTTGTTGTGGTGCCATATCTTTCCATTTTTTTATAATGGATTTAATAGTGCTCTGTGGGATGTTAAAAGTTTCCCAACCCTGATCTGTACTTCTCCACAACTTTGTCCCTGACCTGTTTGGAGAGCTCCTTCGTCTTCATGGTGCCCCTTGCTTAGTGGTGTTGCAGACTCTGGGGCCTTTCAGAACAGGTGTATATATACTGAGATCATGTGACAGATCATGTGACACTTAGATTGCACACAGGTGGACTTTATTTAACTAATTGTGACTTCTGAAGGTAATTGGTTGCACCAGATCTTATTTAGGGGCTTCGTAGCAAAGGGGGTGAATACATATGCACGCACCACTTTTCCGTTATTTATTTTTTAGAATGTTTTGAAACAAGTTATTTTTTTCATTTCACTTCACCAATTTGGATTATTTTGTGTATGTCCATTACATGACATCCAAATAAAAATCAATTAAAATTACAGGTTGTAATGCAACAAAATAGGAAAAACGCCAAGGGGGATGAATACTTTTGCAAGGCACTGTATGCTACTATAGCTAGGTTTCCATCCAATTGGCGACAGATTTTCATGTGAATATTCCAAAATCCGCATAAAAACTAAATGCGCATTTTCCCACCAGAGATGTTGCAGATAAAAGGCTATAGGTGATGACGTAGTGCACATAAAAATACCTTTTGCGGTTAAAATCCCATGTACCGTCAAAAAAACACAAGTTAAATGGGTTTCCATCACATTTAACTCTTGATGGTTTTCTCACAAAAAAATGGCATTATATAGCTGAGTGTTCCCACTCCGGTATTGGCACTGCGCTCTAGCCAACAGTGCACAGATACAGTACTGTAGAGCGCACTTATAGCTTACATCAGGGATCATCAACTAGATTCAGCCGTGGGCAGATTTTTTTTCTTGAGTGGATGGTCAGGGGGCAGGAACATAATTACAAATAATTTGTCAACTGCAAATTGTCCGCAAGAAGCCTAAACGGATATAATATTTAACTAAAACAGAATCATTTCAAACCTTGCTTATTACATTTGTATATGATCACATGCTGTATATCGCTCTATTATGCGTGGGAATACTTTGGAACAGATTTCCAAAAATAAAATCACTTGAAGCTGATTTTCTGGTGTTTTAACTGTCTTTTATGACCAACAATAAACATTTAAAAATTAGCTCAGAAAGCTTGAGGGGCCAAATTGGGCCCGCGGGAAGCCAGTCCACCAACATTTCTCGCATAATTCATTTTACAGACACAAAAAGATCCCACCTTGTCTCGTGTATTTTGTTTTGTCGACATTTGGAAAATTTACCGAAAATCTTTCCGTTTCCATCAGGCCTGTCATAAAATGTTATATCCGACATGTAATCTACTCGCATAAAAAGGTTAGATGGAAACCTGGTTAATATGAGTGAAATATCTTTCCTTATTAAAAAAATTATAATATTAAAAAAGCAGCTTTTCTGTTTGAATGGTGTGGGCGTATACCGGTCGATTTAAAATATCCATGACAAGGAAACAGCTGATTGGCCAGCTCAGCCAATGAGTCAGTGGGCAGATTCGATTATACTGAGCCGCGGGGTACCGGGCAAAGGCCCATAACATCATCGGGCGAAAGAGGGGAGGAGCACCCTTCTCAAATCAAACAGTATTCTGCGCCGCTCTGTCATTCTGTCAACAAGGTACCATGGTGCATTGTCCAGAAACATACATCTATTTTCCATCAAATAAATGTTAGAATTTGCTAACTCATTTTTAATTGGGAAGGCAAATAAAGCTCAAAAGCAATCACTTTTGCATTTGAAAACAGAGAGTCCTACTTATTACTCCACGTGCTCCTACGTTTCTTTGTTTTGAGCCGACTTCGCCATGGGCTTTGAACAGGGCACCTAGCTCATGCCTGGAGGCAACCCGGTTCCAAAACGAATGCAATCAACTTTCACCCGGTGCAAAACCCACCTACACGGGCGCCCGGGCGAGATTAATCGAACCCCTCATTGAGCTGTCTCGGCCAAAAACAAGCATTTTTTCTCTCTAATGTATGCTTTGGCCACAAATACAAGTATAGGATGAGTCAACAACATTATTTGGGTATGAGTTAACAGATTATGAGCTTTTAAAAGTTAGATTTTAACTGGACAGTTATTTTAAGCCATCACAATGTAGGCCTACAACATGACCATGTACAGATGCAGGATCTTAATTTGTTGCTGAAAATTAAGAAAATTAAGATGAGCTTCGTGATTTATATAAATTCACTGAAAACCCACACTAACCCATGATTATATTAACAGTATTGGACTTTTCATGTAGCCTACTTTTGGCCAGCTAATAGCTTAACCACAGATCAAGCAATTTATGGACTAAATGTTAAAATACTTTTGCTGCAGGATTATTTTTGCTGTGACAATATAGGTCAAATTTAAGATCCTACATCTGTATGGAGGTTGTATTTTAGTCACCTTAACAGGAGTAACATCCCTTCAGGGGGTAAAATAAGCATTACTAATAAAATCAAATGTTATTTGTCACATACACGTGTTTAGCAGATGGTATAGCGGGTGTAGCGAAATGCTTGTAATGAGCAAGCAATCAATATTCTGTATATGATCTACTACTCAGGGCCCTATTAAATCAAAAGCGGGGTAAAACAAATTGAAATGATCCTTTTTGATTTTCACACCGTAACAGTTCTGTAAGAACCATTCATCTTACTATGTATAACTGTACCTTGGTGGTGGGGAAGATGGAAAACATGTTTCCTTTCGTTAAAGTATATTGGAGTGAGAAGAGTTTGAGAACCAAACCGGTGTTAAACAAAAGCATAGGTAATTCGTCATTTTTGTGTTTTTTACTGCTGCAATTTAAATGTGTTATTGCTTTTTAGAACCGTTAAAGTACTGCAAAATGGGTAAGAAAATGTGTTGGTATGCATACAATCTGATAACTCCTATCACCTCAAGTGAGGCTTTTATCGAGTTAACCCACTTGGGAGAGATTGTAAGGAGCCTACCTTGGCAAGGGTTGTAGTATTTAATATATTTCATGATGAAGGAAAAAGATACAAAGGCTGTGTTTACACAGCAAGACTAATTCTGATTTTTTGGGGGACAAATCAGATCAGGTCTTTTGCCAATAATTGTGCAAAAGATCAGAATTGGGTCACCTGTGTAAACACAGCCATAGAGCTATGTTCATTTGCATTGCAAATGGTATATGATGAGTGATTTTCCTTTAACTACACACAGCCAAACTAGGACTAGCTCCTATGGTCTGCACCTGACAACAATCCAAGATAGATATTGGAGGGAGAACTGATTTGTTCTCTAATCCACACACAGGGCAGAAAACAAAGGCTGCGTTTACATAGGCCGCCCAATTCAGATTTCCCCCCCCCCCCCCCCTATAATTGGACCAATCAAATCAGCTCTTTTGCCAATAATTGGGCATAGATCAGAATTGGGTTGCCTGTGTAAATGCAGACATAGAGCCATGTTCATTTGCATTGCAAATTGTATATGATGAGTGGTTTTGCTGTAACTACACTGTCGATATGGGACATTTTTAGGATAAACACAAGTTGATGGTCACGATGCAGCAACTGATTGCATGAAATAAAAAATAAAATGAACAAGATTGATAATAAAAAATTTCACCAACCAAGTGTGGTGTTTTGCTAACTTATTTTTTCTATCAACATGCAGGTATGTAGCTAGAGTCAGAAGTGATTTTTCGTAGCAGGTTGGAGAATTTATGCAGCAGGTTAGGAGAAGTTACGCAGCAGGATAGGAGAATTAGGTTAAAGGTTAGGAAAAGGGTTAGGGTTAGCTAAAATGCAAAAATTCTCCCCCATGCAACTTTTGAAGTCACTTTGGCTTTGTTTACACAGACAGACCAATTCTAATCTTTTGTTTTTTACCACTAATTGGTGTTTTTGATCAATTAGATCAGCTCTAATGCCAATAATTGGGCAAAAGATCTGAATTGGGCTGCCTGTGTAAATGCAGCCTTTGACATAAAATGTATGCCATCTAGCCAATCACATCGGATCTTTTTCAGAGCTGATCTGATTGGCCGAAAGACCAATTAGTGGGAAAAAAGATCAGAATTGGGCTGCCTGTCTAAATGCAGCCTATGTTGGCCAGCTGGCCATGTTAATTAGATAATTTATTACAGGTAGTTGCTTGTTTGTACCTCGTGCTCTGACGCAAATGCTTCCCCCGACTTTCTCCACTCAACTCCTCCCAAAAAATATTGCTGTCGGTGGTTAGTAGCTAGCTAGCAAAAAGAGTATGCGCCAAAGTGGTTTTGTTTACAAATTCGGCATGGCCCAAAGTATTGAAGGTAAGTTACAAGTAAATGTAGCTAGCTAGGTAATGTAGTTGCTACAAACAGTTATGGCTAGCTAGTGAATTTCTACTCCTTCAATTTTGGCTTTAGTAAGCTATTTAGAGGTGCACACTTAGTTACTCAATATTTCAGTTTCAAACGAAATACTGTAACGTTAGTCACGTACTTAGTCATGCAATTATCCAACCTTTTCACCGTGTTTTGCAAACTTGGTGATGGTCTGCAGGTGACAAGCACAGATCGGGTCAGACTGGGAAAAGTATTTGCCAATGCAAGATTCACCAGGACAACGATGATGTGGTCATGCACGACCCTGAATGCAGCGGCATACTGGAACTAGATTCTTTAGAATCATCTGAGGAATCTAAAGAAGAAACCATTGTAAAGGCAAGGCTTTGATTTAGTTAATGCTGGTGTTCTGGCAAACTCGCCTAGCAACCAGCTCAGGAGAATGGCACAAAAGAGGCCAATAGTGGTGGTTCTCTCTCATTCAAATTGCTTTGCCTTCAGTTACTTTTTCTAAGATAATATATATATATAATATGCTATACTCGTTAATAAACCCATTACTTTCCACATGCTAGTGTTCTGCAAAGCCAGAGGTTGTAGTCCCAGCCAATGCAGCCATAGAGCTGGAAAGGAGGATTGAGGAGATGAGGAGGAGAAACGAGGCTTTGCTGGAGCGGTTCAATGTAAGTGTATCAGTAGCTAGTGCAGCGCCCTGAATGAAAGAAACTGATATCATACAAAGGTAAACACCATGCATTTATATGCTACTGTTTTGAAAAGCTTTAGTTATTAAGGAAGTCGAAACTGAAGCCTTTCAGCATATTCTGAAGCATTTATCTGAATGATCGATGGTGTATTTTCAGTAGAGGCTTTTATTACTTAAAAAGCAGAACGCATATGGCCACTGAATTGGTTACCTTTACATTTTCCTCATGTCTATGGCTGCATTAGGCCTCTGATATAGCCACCTCACTTAAGTCACGTGACATGTCTCATTCTTCATAGGAAGTTGAGGAGGACAGGAGAAGGGCCGAGCGTAGGGGGGCAGCCCTGCTGCCCAAAAGCACCAAACTGGTCAAAACCAGTTATTCAGCTCATACCGCTGATGTGTCGGAGCAGTGGGAGAGCCTCACCATCACCGTAATGAACCAGGTGCCAACCCAGGTTTCTCCTGTGCAGCCCACTTGGGGGAGCCATTGCACTTTTTTCTCACTTGCTACTCAACTGCAAGGAAAAATAAGAAAGCGGTAAACCGAGTAACCCCAAGTCATGAAATTAATTGGTTAATTGAAATTCATCAAATGGACTGATAAAGACTCCTAAAGTTGACGTGGATTCATCCATTTGATCACACCCCAACAATGCAGGCAGCTGTTTTCTAACTTACCTCTGAAAAGCTGCAGATAATAATTTAGCAATTTGGGATAACTTTTATATACAGGATCACCATTGCTATTCCCATTATATCTATTGATGGGGTGACATTGCTGGTGACATGCAGTTTTCCCTCTGAAAATTAATGCTATTAATTTATGAAGTCAATGCACCATCTAAATCCCCTCTGCTATGTGTCATATGAAGAAGGACTCCCGTTCGGTGGCAAAGCGGTCTGAACGAGGCAGAAGGCAGCCCAAATCACGGAGGATGGACGACCGCCTGGAAAAGAGATGTGAGGAGGAGGAGAAGAACATTTTGGAGGAAAGGCAGCTGATAATCTGCACTATAGACAACGGCGAGGTAGGTGCTTTTACCAACACGGGTCAGAACTGTCCACTATGACATGGACGCTGCTGTCATTTCATTGACGAGTTTAAGCGTTGAACGCGTGACCTTCGTGTTGCTCAAGAAACACACAGGCAATAAAATAAAAATATAAGGAAACCCCATCCCCTCTCTCAAGGAGTAGGAAATTAGACGCTTTGAAAGGAGGCTGTCTAATGTACTAATGTGAGGTTGACATGTTTGTCATTTGAGAGTTGTAAAGCTTGGCGGTTCTTCTGTGTCTCTGGAAATGGAGATGAATGCAATTTAAAAACCTTTTAATGCGGCCCTGTCTGCTAAAACATGAACATGTTCGTCAGCTTTCAGTGCAGAGCTCAAACTGAAGTGATTTTCAATGGCACCTATGTGGTGTATGTGACAATAAAACATCTAAAAATATACACACTACCAGTTTTAGACACTCTTGGCCGTGTCCCAATCCACTAGACCTAGCTTCCTTTCCTTCCTCGTCTCCTTTCCTCCATGGGAAATGTTACACAAGAAAAGGTTTACACCATTAACTGATATTTCAGACTCTCAACCATGTTCTAGTCATGTTTCTCTTAACAGCTGTCTTTGATCCCCTTGGAATGCTGGGAAACCCCTCACAGGCAGAGCACAGCGCCCTGCAGACTGCCAAGCGCAATGAAAGCAGCATGTCATCCGCTGCATGGCACGCTATCCTGTGCTAACTGGTAGGAGCTAGTGGTCTGCCATGTAGTCTACTGTATGGGAGGCTACCATAGGGTCAGCAGTAGTATACACTACTGTGGAACCCACTGTAGATCGGTTGTTTGTATCCAGTCCTGTTGAGAATTTGAACTTGATGATATTGGATTTATATGCAGCTAGTGCTGCTCTAAGTGCTCTTGGCATTTTACATTGTATGGGGAGTACTCCCATCCACTGCTAATGTGACGTACCCACCTGGATAATGCCATTTTGTGCCAGAAAACTCTCCTCCACACATCAGGATGGTGTTTATTAGGGCACAGTGTGGCAAATTGTTTTGCAATGGGAAACGAACTAGTGTTTCTTATTGGACAAGTTCACAGTACATCCCCGTTTCACTCTGTTTTGGAGGTTTTTCTACTGTTTCGTCCCTTTTGAACACAGCCCAGACAAGGCCACAGAGGAAGCATAAATGCCCCACTTTTAGACACTTGAGTAACTGACTGTGGAATCGGGCTGGAATGGAAGCTCAGGGATAGGTGCCAATCTAACTGCTAATTATTCAACTGCAGCTGAGTTGCTATTTATTCCCCATGGGGATTGTTGTTGGCTAGATCCCTGTGGAGGCACATTACCACCACAATCGGCCGTCATTGTTTGCTACGCATTGATTAACACAGTGTGCATAGTGTTTGATGATGCACTCTGTTGGCTTTTAATATGATGCAATACAGGAACTATGCATGAATCATCCTGGCGGTGATGAATTAAGGTTGTCCAGTCTTGACCTTTTTGACATTGGTCCCCTGGGCTGTGGATCCTATCTTGTCCACTGGAGTGCGCTGTTGCACGCTGTGAGCTGTTTTCTCCACTCCTTGTTTGTTTGAATTAGGCCAGGGCAATTCTACAGCATTTATTGACCCATGTTTTAGTCATGTATGTTAATTTACCCATTTAGCAGCATTTTAATGAAGTTTATTTTATTTATTGAATTCTACTTTTCACTTGTTAAAGTGCATGATCAGAACCTCTTAAATATCACCTATTGGACATCAACTAGTGCCCCTATTGCCTTCTGTTGGGCAGCCGTGGAGCCCTCTCCACTAAAAAAACATCAAATCTGCTACGTCACATTTCTCCCCCACTAAAACTTAAGTCTCTCTCTGTTTCCTGAGAGATTACAATTAGGCCTGATTACACCCACCGGTCAAGACAGGACGCAGCATTCACTGCTGACGAATATACACTGGTACAAATGTGCGTAGACCATACATGCCACACTAGGCCTAGCAGTGTTCCATTTTATTTTTTATAGTGGGTACCCTGTTACTATAATGGGCCTATATCATGCCAAGCTCAATGTTCTCATGGAAATCTTACAATGATTCTATGTATTGCATATTGTGGAACACGTCGGCTAAGGCTACTGTATTTGTTGTGGTCTGTAGGTTGCTGGTGCCATCTACCACCTTTTGATGTTTGTGCAAATCTTTGTGCCTGTAATTCCAAACCCACGTGTAGGATAAATCATGTAGGATAAATCATGCATTGATGTCAATGGGAGATGTCTCATGTTAGGATTGAGGCCTATGATCACAGGTCGATTGGAGGGAGGGGCCAGGCTTTGATGGACAGCAAATCATCCTGTAGCGAAGGCCAACCGTTTTCACCTGGTAGGAGCTGGGCTTTCTCATTGGTGCGTTGCTTTGAATACTGATATCAAGCACATTCCCCCACTGCACACCACATGTGTGTAGCTACCCATAGGGGAAAGGGGAATACCTAGTCAGTTGCACAACTGAATGCGTTCAACCGAAATGTGTCTTCTGCATTTAACCCAACCGCTCTGAATCGCAGAGGTGCGGGAGGCTTCCTTAATCGACATCCCACATCATCGGCTCCCGGGGAGCAGTTGTTGTTTGGGGTTGACTGCCTTGATCAAGGGCAGAACGGCAGATTTTTCCACCATGTCTGCTCAGGGATTCGAAACGACAACCTTTGGGTTAGTGGCCCAACGCTCTTAACCGCTGTTGCCTAGACTTCCAGTCATTGCGCTAGTTAACATTACCTCTAACTTCCGGTCTTAAAACAGGGAACACTTAAACAACACAGTGTAACTCCAAGTCAATCACACTTCTGTGAAATCAAACTGTCCACTTAGGAAGCAACACTGATTGACAATACATTTCACATGCTGTTGTGCAAATGGAATAGACAACAGGTGGAAATTATAGGCAATTAGCAAGACACCCCCAATAAAGAAGTGGTTCTGCAGGTGGTGACCACAGACCACTTCTCAGTTCCTATACTTCCTGGCTGATGTTTTGGTCACTTTTGAATGCTGGCGGTGCTTTCACTCTAGTGGTAGCATGAGACGGAGTCTACAACCCACACAAGTGGCTCAGGTAGTGCAGCTCATCCAGGATGGCACATCAATGCGAGCTGTGGCAAGAAGGTTTGCTGTGTCTGTCAGCGTAGTGTCCAGAGCATGGAGGCACTACCAGGAGACAGGCCAGTACATCAGGAGACGTGGAGGAGGGCAACAACCCAGCAGCAGGACCGCTACCTTCGCCTTTGTGCAAGGAGGAGCAGGAGGAGCACTGCCAGAGCCCTGCAAAATGACCTCCAGCAGGCCACAAATGTGCATGTGTCTGCTCAAACGGTCAGAAACAGACTCCATGAGGGTGGTATGAGGGCCCGACGTCCACAGGTGGGGGTTGTGCTTACAGCCCAACACCGTGCAGGACGTTTGGCATTTGCCAGAGAACACCAAGATTGGCAAATTCACCACTGGCGCCCTGTGCGCTTCACAGATGAAAGCAGGTTCACACTGAGCACGTGACAGACGTGACAGTCTGGAGACGCCGTGGAGAACGTTCTGCTGCCTGCAACATCCTCCAGCATGACCGGTTTGGCGGTGGGTCAGTCATGGTGTGGGGTGGCATTTCTTTGGGGGGCTGCGCAGCCCTCCATGTGCTCGCCAGAGGTAGCCTGACTGCCATTAGGTACCGAGATGAGATCCTCAGACCCCTTGTGAGACCATATGCTGGTGCGGTTGGCCCTGGGTTCCTCCGAATGCAAGACAATGCTAGACCTCATGTGGCTGGAGTGTGTCAGCAGTTCCTGCAAGAGGAAGGCATTGATGCTATGGACTGGCCCGCCCGTTCCCCAGACCTGAATCCAATTGAGCACATCTGGGACATCATGTCTCGCTCCATCCACCAATGCCACGTTACACCACAGACTGTCCAGGAGTTGGCGGATGCTTTAGTCCAGGTCTGGGAGGAGATCCCTCAGGAGACCATCCGCCACCTCATCAGGAGCATGCCCAGGCGTTGTAGGGAGGTCATACAGGCATGTGGAGGCCACACACACTACTGAGCCTCATTTTGACTTGTTTTAAGGCCATTACATCAAAGTTGGATCAGCCTGTAGTGTGGTTTTCCACTTTCCTTTTGAGGGTGACTCCAAATCCAGACCTCCATGGGTTGATAAATTTGATTTCCATTGATAATTTGTGTGTGATTTTGTTGTCAGCACATTCAACTATGTAAAGAAAAAAGTATTTAATAAGATTATTTCATTCATTCAGATCTAGGATGTGTTATTTTAGTGTTCCCTTTTATTTTTTTGAGCATTGTATTATAGCGTAGGCCTATACAATGTCTGAGACATGTTTTTACATATATTGATTTCACACGCAATCGTGTGTTTTTCATTTTAAGACAATTGTGTTATTCCTGATTGTGCTCATCAGGCATTTATATGACTCATGGTCGTATGTGACTCGTTTCAGGAAACTAGGTGTATGTCGCGCGTCACTACTTCACAGGAGAGGCATTTGAACATAAAGTAATTTTTTTATTAATGTGTTTTTTGGCAGAAATGCCTTCTGGAACATGTGAACTTTCATGTGCCTTAATAACAAACGTATATTCCATCCATAAATACGAATACAATTGTTAAATTACAAGCCTAGTTGGTTTAGCCACAGAAAAAGACAGGAACCTTCCCGCTAGCCATGATTGGCTGAGATAATGGATGGGATGGACATGCCGGGAGATGAGTTTGGATTGGTCTGCCATGTAGCACGCTTCTGTTTATAACGTGAGCTGCTCAGTATGTGTTGAAAGTCCTTTCTACTGTGCCATTTTTGAAAGGTATAACAGCCATCGAGAACTACAAAAATATTCTCAACATTGATGCCCTGAATTTAGCAGGTGCTATCGACAGATGGGCTACTTTCTGCTCACGCCACGGTCAGTGTGAACCAGAGTGACTTGACACAACACTGGTCAAACAAGATGTAACGTTAGCTACAAACAAAACTGAGTTAAATGGTCTGTTTGCCGTGAAGCGTTCATCCATGTATACGGGTAAGAGTCTAGCTACATCTTCAGATACGTTTCTAATTTTGTCAGTTGTTTTTATTGCAAGTTAATGCGCACTGTTAGTTAGCTGGCTCGCTCGCTAAGGTTACATGTATGATCTGTGTAGTAATATTATTTGAATCAGAAATTGATTTGCATTGCTAGTTATAGCCTAATGTTAGCTAGCTAACATGGAACCTAGTTTGTTAGCTTTAGCTACCTGCAGATTCATACTACAGCTATGACAATGTTTATTGGTAGTAGTATGAGTTGGGATGATGCCGGTTCATTGTAGCTAGCTAGCTACATGTCTAAACAGAAGACTCCACTTCGGCCGCATTATTACATGACCCATCAAATTAGCCAGGTGTGTCTGGGGGTGATTACGGCCATCTATTGTATTTCACGAACATGTGTACATGTCTAGACAATAGTGACCCATCCACGTAGCTAGATGTGGCTGGGGGGTGGTTATAGCGTTTGTTTCACATGACCATCAATTTAGACAAGAGTGTCGGGTAAGCGTCATCTAATAATGATAAAATATTTTCATCTGGACACTTTCTGTTTTTGATATTGCCACTGTGCAAGTAACCACTTCACTGTACCGTTTACACCTTCTGTATCCTGTGCTTTTGACAAACAAACTT